GGGGGAGAGCCCAGGGTTGGGGCAGCAGGGGGTGCAGGTGGGGGGGAGAGCCCGGGGCTGGCGTGGGGGCAGCCAAAATTTTTTTGCTTGGGGGCGGCAAAAAGCCTAGAGCCGGCCCTGGTGCCATTGACCTTGAAAACAACAGAGATGTTTGCAAGCCCAGCTGGAACGGGCTGTGGTGCAGTGTATATCAGCAGGTACCGATACACTGTGAAGAAAGCAATATAAATGTCTAGAGAGAGTCACTTGGAAGACGATCTGTAGCCTGACTTGGATTCACTGATAAAGCCATGATGAGGGGTCGGTGAGACCTCAATATTTATTAAAATAGATTAAAGAAGGAGACAGTGTGAAAGAGACAAAGAGAGAGGAAAGGGAAAGAAAATGTGGGATGAAAGGAAAACTGCAGCAGTATTGGAGATGAAGAAAAAATGAGGCTGGAAATGTGAGGGAGGGAGAGAAACAGAAACTCAAGAGTGCAACAGAACAGAAAATGGCACAACGATGGGACGAGACAGAGGATGAGAGCAAGCCAACAGTTTACATTCTGTTCACAGTCTCAGGGCACTGCGGCAGTGAGGAATCTGACTGGGTGACTGAATTAATAACTTCTTGTTCTTACCTGCACTCTGCAAATGGTTTTGGCTGGGCTGCGATCCCAGGAGAGCCTGGGAAAGAAACACAGAGCAAAAGCAGAGAGATGATTATCCCTTGAAATAAACGTGGGCAAGTCATGAAAGCTGCTCAGTCTCTGGCTGCTCTGAGGAAACACACCCTAGTAACCACCTCTTCCCTGATTCCCCTATTACCCCTCTTAGAACCCAATCACAGCGCTGCCCACGAACAACAAAATGAATAATTTGTGGGCTGCAGAAGCTTACCCTTCATACAACAACCATGCCGCTAAAGGGCTGCTGCGCGTCATTTTCAGGCTTTTATCCAAGTACTCTGGGAGGCATGGGGAGCTGGAGCAAGCAGGAGAGGAAGGGACAAATAGGGGCCTGAGCAAAATGTAGAGGGAAAAAGGGGAGACTGAAAGAAATGGTAATACCCTCTAAAAATGTATTAGCAGTCCTTCCCTCTCTCCCTGCACGAGCATGGAAGAGCAACTTCCTATGGCAGTGATAGTGAACAGGTCTGAAGAGAGGACATCTACCTGATGAGGTGGTGCCCTCAGGAGTCAGTGTTCACACTCAGAGAGGACACCCACATACAAAACGATGAGTGTCTATAAGAGGGAACTCAACAGGGACTTTAAGAAGTGCAATGATACCTCACACCACACTACACCAAACAGGGCCTGACATGTTAGGAACAAGCACAAGGGATATGAAACAAAGCTCTGGGGTTTCTGTGGCTGCTGCCTAGCTCCAGCTGCATACCGTGGTGTGAGCAGATGCTTTCTGGTGGTATCAACACCACTGCTGGCTGGGGGGGGGGGGGGGGATCTCCACTCTGACGTGACCTGGTGCTTTCACAGGGTTTGCAGGCAGGTGTAAGCTCTTCCCAGACCAGTGGCAACAGAGTGAGGCAAAGAGACTGAAGTATTTCTGCTAGATCCTCACACTCCAGTTTATTTCTAAATAACCAGCAGCTTTTTACATGAGCAAGGATCACTGAGTTACAGAGTGGGGGCAAGTGTATCTTTAGAAGCCTAGCTATCAGGCAGGGCCGCCCAGAGGGTGGGGCAAGTGGGGCAATTTGTCCCAGGCCCCGGGCCCCACGGGGGCCCCCATAAGAATATAGTATTCTATAGTATTGCAACTTTTTTTATGGAAGGGGCCCCTGAAATTGCTTTGCCCCAGGCCCCCTGAATCCTCTGGGCGGCCCTGCCATCGGGAGCTGTTCTCACTCTCTCTTTTTACTGGAGCTGCCATGGTTTCATCTCTCTCAGCTTCACCTCTCGTTCTGTAAAGAGGGGAGAGAACAATTTGGGATTGAAGCTAATTCTTTGGCTGTACTAAAGACTGTGGGCCACATCCATCTTTGGAGTAAACTGAGGCAATTCCCATTGGTTTTAACAGGGGTCAGACCTGCTTATGCCAGAACTGAATCTGATCAGCAGGTTCTGTTGACAATGGGACAGCATCAAGATCACCCCAGAAAAGCCAGACCTGAAATTCTAGATCAGAAATGTATCAATGACATTTTTGGAAATGCCAGATCAGCTGGGACAAGGAGGGGCATTTGTGTGTGTGTGGTGGGGGTGTACATGTGTGTGTGTGTGTGTGTGTGTGTGTGTGTGTGTGTGTGTGTGTGTGTGTGTGTGTGTGTAGTAGACAGCAGTTAGAT